AGCACCTTTGTTGTAGCTCTCTTAGGGAGGGTGAAGTGGGAGCCAGGGGGCAACGATCCCCCGCTCCTCCGAGGGGATCCCAGCAGTTACTCAGCTGGAGCCTGGGGACCTCAGCTGGGTTCTCACTTTCAGATGCTCCAGCAGCTCCATGGCAGTGCACTCCCACAGGTCTGCTGGGACATACTCCGGTCGGGAGGCATCTCCTGGGGGCTGCCTGAAGCTTGGTCACCCAAAGAGCTCTCAGGTTTAGGAAATAGGGTGGTTTATACTGGCCTGGGAGCTTCCTTCCTTCTGACAGAAGGTAATTCAAATCCTCCTCTCGTGCTGGATGCCTTGGCCTGGGTTGAGGGCTGGTTTTGTGACTCCTGGAGCAGTGTGAGGTGTTCTTGTGCTTCTGAGAGGTGAAGCCAGCCAATGGACCGACCTGTTGTGTGAATGAGGCTGCTGCAGGGACCCAGTTTTGCTGAAGGCAGCAGCGTGCATCATCGTACCTAGGTTTGTTCCAACTGTTTCATGTTTCTGGAGTTAATTTGGAGAATTATCCTTTTTCCGTGGTTGGAATTTGGCTTTTTGAAAGGAGCCGTGGTTTAATCCTTCCCATCATTTTGATAAGCCTTTTAGTTCTTTTATACATATTGACAGGCTGGAACTGCTTTGGACACTGGACAACCTGATGTGTGTTTCTGTCTGGTGTGATGTGGGGCATTTCAGATGAGATTCTTGCAGTGTCATCTCCGACACACTGGAGCAGCTCAGGCTCAGGAATGTCTTTACTATTAGAATCCAGTGACAGTGCAAAATGAAGTTACAGTGTGAAGAGTCTTTACTGCTATAGTGCAATAAAGGGAATGATGCTGCGAGGGCTGGAGCAGCTCTGCTCTGGAGCCAGGCTGAGAGAGCTGGGCTGGGGCAGCTGGAGAAGAGAAGGCTCCTGAAGGGGACACCTTAGAGCAGCTCCAGGGCCTAAAGGGGCTCCAGGAGACCTGGAGAGGGGCTTGGGACAAGGGATGTAGGGACAGGACAAGGGGAATGGCTTTAAACCGCCCGAGGGGGGACCGACACAAGC